TGTCCTTAATGAGAGAACTTTTTGAAACCAGGCGTCAAGAAGGTAATGTAAAAAATAAAATCGTTTCAGTTTTAGATTATGTTGTGGGGAAATTTCAAATGAGTTAACATGAGAAAAGTACTGGTTATCACATTGTGAAAAATTTTAATAGTAAATTTGTTGACAAATGGGAAAATTGCAGTCGATCATACAAAAGTTTCTCGTGCGACATGATAAATCGTTAATTCCTTTTGTGGAATCTATACCTCCCAAAATCTTTCAGAAAAAAGATCGACCATCTAAATTTGAGGTGTTCAGTGAAGTTGGTAGTCAGTCAAAAAAAATAGAAAATTTTGTTATTAATGGAAAGCTATTTTACAGATGATTCAACTTTTACTGCTGCGACTAGTTTAAGAGAAACCACATTATAAAAAGATGTAGTTAATACGTTGGCTAATTCAGCATTTTCATGTAATATTATTGGCTAAAAATGATAATGTAGTGGTTTGACTGTAGAAGACTCAAATATTGATTTGTAATAAGTTTATACAGTGTGTCTACTTAGGTCGGCACAATTTGGGAAACTTATTTGTTTTATGAAAAAAAGTTTTTCTTCATAAAAAGTACTGCATGGTCTAAAATTAAAAATACAGGTATTAGATATCAAATCTTTTAAGCCATGTACGAGGTTTATCGAAAAATAGTAATTTTATGCAAGTACTTTTATTTATAAACAATATTGAAAATTGTTAATTAGAATTGAAAAATACTGTTAGATAATTAATTTTTTCCCATCTACCATGAAAAGCTAGTTTTATACCGGGTGTTCCAAATTAAAGTATTACAGTTAAATACCGCCGAAAATATGCATTTTAGAAAAAAAAGTTTCAGACAAAAGTTTTATAGTTTTTTTGGGGGAAACATTTTGGCTAAATTCCTTTTTACTTTCCTATCTGTATACAGATATAAGGAAGGTATAGGAATCATGATTTTTTTCGACCTCGAGTTTTCGACGGATTTTTACGTTTTGAGGTCCCCTGAATCCGTTTTGACTATTTTCGCGATATTGTCTGTGTGTGTGTGTGTGTGTGTCTGTAGGTCGCATAACTCATGAACCGATGCACAGAAAAACACCAAATTTTAAACTTTAGCTTTATTCCAGCGTCTACTGAAATGATTAGATTTTGGGCAGAGTCGGAACATCTGGGGGGTACTTTATGGGTGGTCATTTTTATATTTTATGGAATATATCTCTTATTTACGTTTAGAGAAGAAAATTCTTTAAATAAAACTTACTTCTAATATAATTATCTATAATTTTTGTTCTATACAAAATTTTCTTAAAATGGTCCGTATTCGAGAAATTTGACAAAATGTAAAAAAAAATATTTTTTTTATAAAAATTGTTTAAATCAAAGTTGTTTGTATAATAATTCTCTATAATTTTTATTCTATACATAATTTCTCTAAAATGGACCGTATTCGAGATATTTGAGAAAATGTGTAAATTTCGAATTTTGAAGAAAACTCAAAAACGGATAAAGAAAAAAACATTAAATTTTAAACTAAAGGTTTATTTCGGCCTGACGTGAAATGATTAGATCATGGACAAAGTCGGAACATCTGGGGGGGTACTTTATGGGAGGCCATTTTTATATTTTATTGAATATATCTGTTATTTATGTTTAAAGAAGAAAATTGTTTAAATAAAAGTTACTTCTAATATTATTATCTATAATTTTTGTTTTATGTCAAAATTTCCTGAAATGGTCCGTGTTCGAGAAATTTGACAAAATGTGCAAAATTCTGATTTTTATGAAAATTGTTAAACTAAAAGTTGTTTGCGATATCGATCTCTATAATTTTTGTTTATACATGATTTTTCTAAAATGGACCGTAATGAAAAAGTGCTAAATTTAAATTTTTCAGTATTTTCGTTTTCAATGAATATCGATAGAAAAATGTTTCGAGGTAGATGTATATGGACAATGTATATATTTAGTTTATCCTCTAAACATTTATAGAGATGCTGCAATAGGTTGTACAAAATAACCGGAAAAAGCCTATAATAACTAGATAGGAAAGTCATGTGTTGGACACATCAGATTTTTTTATAGCTGACCATAATATGGCCATATCGAAGTGAACTTTGTTTTTTTAAATGAGAATCCCATTTTTTTCTTACATATTCTTAAAGTACATTAAAAAATAAAAAACTTTTGAGGGAAATATTTTTTTTATTGGACTTTTACTTTTTGAGTAACAGCTACTTGAAAATGTTGCTGCGTGAAAAAAGTTGACCATATTATGGTATATAGCTGTAACGCTTTAATTTACAACACCAGGTATAATAAATAATTTGTATTTATGCCAAAAAGCATTAAAGATCGTTTTTTGTAGATGGATAATATTAGTTTCTGATCATTATATTAAATTTACCTAAAGTATTCCTTAAGTGTTACACGTATCTTCAAATTTATAAATTGTTTTTTTAGTATTTTTTGTTTTTTTTTTTACTAATATTACCTACAATTTAAAAATTCACTTTTTGACAATTGTGAAAAAAAGTTTTTCCACTTAAAGTGTTAATAATAAAGGTAAAAATTCATCTCCTAAACAGAAGTATATTGCACCCAATTATCTCTCACAGACTGACACGTCACATTTATCAAAAAGCCAGTCAGAAATCTGTATATTCGCTTCAAAGAAAAATCAATTTTTATTTGACTTGGAATAATATTGTGATCATACGTTGAAAAGGTATAAAATAATAACATGTTATGAAAAAAGTATAATTTTATTGCGTAATGCAATGAAAAAATAGCTGTTTGAATAAGTACAACAAAAGGATGACAATGAATATTTTGCAATAGTTGACATAACCTTTTTTCCATTGAAACAAAAAAAAACTAAACCATTCGTCGAAACTGTTGAAAAATAAAACATATTTTCAATAATCCCCTGAAATTAATTTAACTTTATGACTAAACTAGATCTATTTATTTTACAAATGCAGCTTTATCAAATATTGAGTCCACTTTTCTTAATAAATAAATTTTTTTATACTCGTATTATAATAATGTACTTATGTGCCCATAATCCGTTTCATAATGATACCCATTATGATACAGATTTTTCATAACGATACAACTTTTTAATAAATAGAAACCCATAATTTTTCAATCAAGCATGCTGTACATTTGACGTTTGTCCTAGGTTCCTATGTAATTGTTTTAGTTGTCAAAATCAGTACGTATTAAATTCGACTTCGATAATTATATTATCAAAATGTCTGATATCAGCGATATGGAAGACTTACCATCGACTCCTCCACACATATTGGAGGAAGCAGAAAATGCAGTACAAAATATTTGGCTCCAAAAATCTATGGTAATACCAATACCCGAGATAGGACCATTAATTACAATTTTGTAGAATTTTTTTATAGAAATACGAGTAATTACTGTTATTGTGTTTAATACAAATGGCGTCATTTTATATTTTGACGAATCGATATCACGTTAAAGTAACGTGTATATCGGGTTCCTAGGCTAGGCAACTTGACGTCATTATCACGAATCTATCTAACGTCAAAGTGACGTCTATATTGGGTGTCCCAAGGTTGAATGGAATTATTTAAAATACTAAGCAGATTAAAGTTATTTATTTAATCCAAAAAACACATATAAAATATATTATAATAAATAAATTACACTGGTAAATAAAAAAGTCATGAGCAAGAAACCAAAAGGAATGAAATGACAAAAGAATATTAGGGGAACTTACTGACACAACATACCTAAAATTGTAGATTTGATTTTAGTTGGGGGTGGGGAAGCATGCTTTACGATTTCATCATCTTGAGTATCATCGAATGACAGCTTTCTAGTTGGCACCTGTTTTCTTTTAGTAGGTACTTTATCAGCCTTGAAATGTAGATCTAAGGTAACTTCGACTTTTTTTAATTTGGTACTTTACTAAAATAAAAGCACTATTAACATACAGACCACTAAAAATTCTTAAAGATAGAAAGTAAATTGTGAATATAGTTGTAAAAACTGCCTCCTCAGAGTTTATAATAAAAGTTAATAAAAAAAAGATCATATATTCTGTGAAATAATAAAAGGTATCTAAATCAAGTGACCCCTTACAAATCTTTTATTTTATAAATAAACTATTAAAAAAATACCCTGAAATAACTCATAATCAAAAAATAAAAGTATAACATTACTCACCAGTCTTATATTATAGCATATTTCTTTATACATTTCTTTATAAAGGCGGCCAAAAGACTTGTTTTTTCGCGTCAGTCATTTTCTGCTCACCTCATACTTGCCAGACCGTCATCATCCAGTTTTTAAAACTCAACAATGCAATACATCTGTAAAATACCAAATTTGGAATAATATACTTTATTATTTTGTCACATTCTATTTTTTACCTTTTTCTAAAACATCATATTAAATAAAGTACAATTTAAAAATGCACCACGTTCACAAGGTCACGACTGTTACTCACAAGAATCATGAAGATGGAGGAAACAGGAAACAACAATGATAATTGACAATATGACATTGCCAGAAATATACGAAAAAATAACATAATTATGACGAATTCTAAGTGACGTCTGTTCTATGTCATCAATGCGACGTCAAATACACGTTACTGATTAGGATATTGTATTTCGGATAAATTAATACTAAAAAATTACGTCATAATGACGAGTCTCTATTGACGTCTAATTAACGTTGCAAAAATGATGTCAAAGTAACGTCATTAATTGGGTAGAAAAAAATAAAAATACTGTAGAAAAAATAGCGTATGCAACTCTCATGTAATGGTTATTACATGATTGTTGCATGATATAATAATTTATAAAAAAAAAATTATTTAAGAACTCGGGTTATGAAATTTATTAAACTTCACATTAAATAATAAGTCAATATAGGTATACCAATTTAAACTGTTTTAAATTTATTAACACTTAATTAGATATTAAACAATTTTAAAAATATGCTTACCCACAATATCAACAACTCTTAGAGTATCCAGTACTGGTTCCATTACATCCTCAGGAATATGCATCAATTTGTTGTTTTGTAAATTTAGTGTTTCTAAAGAATTCAAATTTTCAAAGACGACTCCTGATAGCGTTCTTATACTGAAAAATAAAAACTATTTGAAACAAAAATTAAGTTAAGATTTATCTAGAATCGCTTGTGTCTCTCCCGAAAATCATACATTATGTATAAGCCCTAAAAGATTCAGAACTTGCCTTCAGCTTAAACCAATAAATACAAAAAATGTCATGAGCAATAAATCGGAAAAACGTTAAAGTGGGAAATAAAAAGTCAAATGGTTCTCTAAATCAACATAAACAACTGATATACCATTTTCTATCCGAGTGATAATTTCTCATTTAAACAAATAATAATTTTTTATTTTCACTAATACCATTTTTGATTTATCCCAAATGAAGATAGAAAAAAAAATTCTTTACTGAATTCTTATAACTAGTACATGGAAAATGCTATATTTTCCAATTCTCCAGAATTAAAAGCACTTCGTGGATATACCCTGTATATCAGCTTGTCACGATTCAGACTATATCGTCCAAATACTCTGCGTGCGCGAGTTGTAATGGTGGGGCTTCTGTTATTGGAAGGGCTATCGACGATTGAATGAGGTCTGAGATTCAATTAAAAATTTTAGTTCCTAATACATCGATTTATCGAACAGCCGAAAATAGAAAAATTATTTAGACACCGAAATCCACGATTCCGATATTGCTCGCGAGAGATACAATTTTAAACTGATAAAAATTTCTAGCCGCGATCTTGACGATAAGTAAATTGTTGTTATTCTTTTTATAGATTTTTTTTCACTTGAGACTTTAGGCTGTGTTATTGAAAACCGTTTTATTTTGATTTATTTTTAATTAATATTATTTCTTGTTGAGTTAAGAATTTAAATTTGTTTTGATTAGGAAATACTTAAATTTATTCTTGTTAGAAAGTACCTTTTGTGGAATTTCATTTTAGCTTTTTTAAGGCTTTACCTAATAACTAATTTATTTTTCATTCCATCGTAAATATAGTCGTATAGTTATTTTTCCTGCTACCGTAAATTTCCATGGAAAAATCGTAAATTTCATTTTAGTTTATTTAAAGCTTTATCCAATAAATAATTGGTCGGAACTGTTTGGGAATTGTCTAATATTTTGATTTGTTATTCTAATAAAATTGCGATAAGACATTTTCTTTTATTTTATACTCCGAACCGCAAAATGCGAAATTAAATAGTATCATTCCCCTATCTGAAGCAGCTCGTGATTACAATCACTTTATTCAGAAATAATGTGCTATTCCGGTTTAGTTGGGTTTATTTTTCAACCACTAGTATGAGTAAACTTCTTATAGAGTCCCAGTTTCAGCCCTGAAAGTAGTACTGTCCCGAACCTGTCTCCTCGCATTCTTTGCAACCGTATATGCAACTTTGCGTTACCAAAACATTCAATTACATTTGATTGTAAATACCGATTAGACAATTCAACAGTTAATTTTTCCTACGACCGTAAATATTATTTTCTGTAGAAAACTAATAAATAGTATTTTTAGTTTAACGACTAAACTGTTAAATAGTTAATTTTTCCTGCGTCCGTAAAATTAGTCTGATAGTAAATTTTTCCCATGACCGAATTAATATTTCTGCTAAAGGAAATAGCAAGTTACATTTTTAAGTCAACAACCAAATAGACAGTTCAATAATAAACTTTTGCTGCGACCGTGATAACAACAATTATTGATTTAATTTTTTTTTCTTATGTCCAATTGAAGCTATTCGGAAGTCATTTCCGGCCGTTTTGTTGGTTTATTTTTGTTCAATGTTTGTAAATATAACCGTGAGGGTGGGCGTTGAAATACCTTAATTTATTTTTTTTATGTTGTAAATAGTTTTAAGCATTGTATGTGTCAACGTTAACTTGCCATATCACTGGTTATTAATTCCATACTTTATTTCCCCCTTGTATTTCAGCTAGTGATAAATTCTGTACCAGCTCAAGCAACGATTAAAGCCCGTTACTTGTGGCCTACCATTACTTGCGTCTAAGTGACCTTTGACACCTGGAATTTTTCATCTCCATCTGTAACTACCCGAGTACTTTCAACGCCATTTTAAAAGTTTGTGCAGTAAAATCATTACCATAAATCTGGCGCTCGAAAGCCGCCCGTAGCCAGCGCCATTAGTAAGGGACAATTTTCTCAGAGGCGAAAAACCCCCTTACACTTCAACCGTTCAAAAATTTGTTCGATGCTGAAATTTTCCCCTTGGTTTTGGTACCGCGCCTTCTTTTAAATAATCTGATAAATTCTGTATATGTACAATATTTTTTTCCACATTGCGTTGATTTAACTTTCGAATCTCGCAAGAATTTTGAAAAAATACTAAAAAACGGCTTCACAATCGCGAGTTAATAAATTGTTTTTTTACGATAAATCAAAATAATTGAAAACTATATTTTTATTCCATTTTGCAATTGCTAATTTAACGGAGCCCTCCGGATTTGCATCCGCAGGGTCATTCGGCACATAGTACAAATTTTTTAAAAAGTGTATCTTCGAGTGCACAGTCCGATGTTTTAAAAGTGCCTTTTCGACTCTCTGTTCCCTGACTATAAATTTTATCAAGACAGATCAACTTTGGAATGCCCCAAAGGAAAGGACAATTTTTTTTTTAATTTTCCTGGTCGACTCGACCAAAGCAGTTTATTGCCGTCGACCATTAAATGCGCGAAGCGCGGCGTATAAGGAGAAATTTCAAACAATTGTCAATGGTCTCTCTATAGCTATATCAACTATTAATTCCGAAAAAAATTATTTCAAGAAAAATATTTATGAAAAGTTACTCTTTCCTTATATCTTCTACCGTAACCTTGCGACGATCCTGTCTTGTCAGTAGTACCACCTTAAAACTAACTTATTATTTTGCCCAGCATGAAGGGAGTCAAAATTTGTTTATCGATGCTGTACCTAGGGTTTGTGAGAGCTAAGATAATATTCCTAAAAAGTAAAAAAAAATTATACCTACCTAAATATGTACATATAAATGAGTATAATTAATTTTTTAGTTATTTAGGAAGAGTGTGTATGTGAACAAAATATTGATGACAGGATTAACTTTCGTTTAAGTCAATATTTAAACTTTTTTAACCAAAACTTAATATGTTTGCTAAAGCTTTCAGACTTTTTTATTTCTTTAATTTTTAATAAACAATAAACTATCTGAGTATACTCACTCGTTCTTTTGCAAATTAAGGAAGGTTATGGAATCTCCATATCCTGCTAAAGCATCTTCGGCGATATACGAGATGTTGTTCGACCTTAAATCCAAATGACGCAGGCGGTGCAGTCCTTTTAACGCGTCCGTTGGAATGGTATGAATGTTATTATCACCAAGTCGAAGATATTGGAGATTCTCTGTAAAAAAATTACTTTGAGTAAGCTAAAATAAACAAATGAAATCAAAGAAACCTAGACTTATAGAGATATTCAGATAAAGAGGAGGAAGAAAATAAAAAAATTAATTATATAATTCTTTAAGGTAGTTCACTCGTAAAACATCCTTTCTTAAGAATTCAATAAAATTGAAATATGAGCTTAATGAAAGTGCCTTTTATGTACCTAAGAAAAATAAAAATTTTTGACCGTCTGTAAAACGAGATATTAACAATCAAAATGTGCATAATTAACACTCTTGAAGCCCTGTCATGTACACAATCATTGCATTTATTTTAAGATATCTCGAAAACGGTTCTTACCATATTTTTTAAATACTAATGTAATGTAAATCAAGAAATTATAAAATTTTCTAAAAAAACGCTGAATTTGTTACCGTTTTGATAAAGAAATATAGATTTTTAAAATAAAAATGTTCTTAAAGCAGTCGACGCATAGTGGCGTATTGTGATTACAACTTGGCAACGTTGTAATCGATACACTCAACGCCCGCTAATTCAAATGTCTGTTAGATCAGTGCTTCTCAACCTTTTTATTGCCGCGGACAGGTCAAGTTTATCACTTTATCGAGGCCTTCTGGGAAGGGACGTTGTTTATACTTTAGGTTGATATGATTTAACAATTTAAATTTAATTGTATTTAAACATGTCTTCAAAATTAAATAAATATGCAAAAGATGAATATAATTTTATTTAAACATGCCTTCAAAATAAAATACAGTTACACAAAAAAAATTAATATAAAGTAATTTAAAATTTTTACTTACTAGTATTAGGAAGTCATAAAAAAATACAAATAAAAGTAATGATTTTCTGTAGTATTGATGATATCGTAGGAACGTTCATGACAGCAAGAAATTTATTTAAAGCAGTTTGACCAAACCCTGAATGGACAGCACGTTTAAATAAATAAAATTATACTAATTATAATAAAAAAAATTATGAACATAACACTTTTTTTTTAAATTTACCTAGAACTGCTTTAGTGTTGACATCTGAATGCTTAACTTCACTTTTTGTTGCATGAACTTTTTCCGTAGGTACTATAGTTTCAATATTACATTCATTACATTTAAAATTGAATAAAGACCCTTTCGTGTTTCATTTGTAATATTTTCAAGAGAAAAAACTCTTTCACATTAGCAACATTTTAAATGTGTTCCCAACTCTAGTAATTCCACAATGCGACCACTGCAAGGGTTATTTTTCAAGCTTGGGGTTTCCTTTCTCAATTTTTTTGCATTATTCATAGCCAAAATTGATTTTTTGCGTTTGTTGAGGACGTTCTGCGTAACAAATTTTCCTTCATCTCGCAATTAATTGATCCTGACAATGAAACATTTTGATATTTACATTTATTTCACTTTAGGAATACAGTTGACGTTTCACAATATACAGTGAGCACCATAAGTCTTACCCCCCTGTCTAACTCGTTACTGGAGTCTTGTTAGGAAAATCGCCGAGACACGTCGATTTTTGATTTCTACAATGTACATTTTTGTATGAATAGTTTACCCTTAATTTCATCCCTTACTGGAATTCTCGACTAATTGTTGTTTCCGAATAACGGAAATTAACGTAGCGCACTCATCCTTAGAATTAAAATTCGGCCCTGCATGATTTCGGTTTTGGTTCAGACGTGAAGTAAGACTTTTTGCCATTAGAAGGTCACTGTTAGTCTAGTTGCTTTCCTATTTTATGAGGTTTTGTTATTTTTAAACATTAATAAATCAACACGTAATGAAGCAAATTTTAAAATTTTTTGAACGGTTGAATAGAGAATAAAACCCCCTTTCAAATGAGCTATCACTCACCACCCCATGCTATTTAAATTTTTCGAAAGGGTTGCAACCCTCCAGTAAGGGATGCAATTAAGGGTAAAATAATCATGCAAAAATGTACATTGTAAAAATAAAAAAACGACCTGTCTCGGCGATTTTCCTAACAAGACCCCAGTAACGAGTTAATTAGGGAGGGTAAGACTTATGATGCTCACTGTATTTGCGACGTTGCCGGATGGATTTTACGCGATATAATACCATATTTGTATATAGGATCACATGTGTTGTGTGTACAGTCTGTTACAAAAATAACCTTTCTATAGATTTAAGAATATCGAACGGTTGGTATTCACTATAGGGCGATATTTTTGTATACGACTGTCGCGAGTGAACTACCTTAAGTGAAAATTTCTATATCTTTTGATGAATTCAAACACGTCAGTATATCACAATAATTTTCAACGGTAAGTTAGTTAGACCATTAAAGACATATGAATATATTATATTGTATTGAGTTTACACACAAAAATAAATCGCAGACGATGCAGTGAATGAAATAAATGTGGCTGAAGTTATAAAGTGAATAATACATAAATTTTTTCAAATGTCCTTTATCTTGAAGATGTACCAAAAAAAGATATAATCTGCTCCAGTAAGTAATCATAGTAGGTACAAAAAGCATATAAATAAAAGTAAAATAAAGATTGACATTATTTTTTCCTACATCTATTTTACGTTAAATTAAATAATTATTTTTATATGTTTTCGTTCCGATTTAATTTCTTTAAGTGGTGCTCACCTTAGTAAGCAAAATCTAAAGAGTATCATATTTCCAAATTGCTCGCCTGGCTTTTTATCCCACCTAGTTTTTAAACTAGGTACTACAAGCGAGCTTTGATTTTGGTCACTAAGTGTATACGGCCTTACTTTATTACTTCCTGTTTACTAATGAGTTCTAAAAAGGACGAAATGGGTCCAAGAATAACATTTTCCTTAGTAAGCAAAATCTAAATTAGGGTTGTCAATTTGGGGTCAATTGGACTTTTTTTATTTCCATTTTTAATTCTCTTTCACCTAATATAACATATGTTATATATTGATATGAAATCGATATGCTCCTGATCGTAATCAAAGATTGGGTACTACAAGATTATTCTTAATATTTTGTAAATTATTTGAAAATGTAGCTAAGCAACAAAGTTTTTAAGAATTTGTTTTTGTCTTAGTGAAACCAAAAAAACAAAAAAGGTCGGTCGAAAAAATTTCGATATCAACGGTTGAAAATATATTTTTTGTGGTAATAAAATAACAAAAAGAAGAAATTGTATTTATTGGTATTGCATGGTTCGTGTGGAATATTGATTCCCACACAGTTACATCAGTGACAGAGACAGACATTATTATCTGGATATAATGTATTAATCCAGGGTAATCATATGAGAATAGCATTAGTGAAGCTAAGAGAGGTATTGGAGGGTTTCTTTATTATATGCTGGATGGACGTTTAATTTTATTTAGTTTTCTGAATAGTAGGAGCCAGCAATGCATACGAAAAAAAAAACAAATAACCTGTCTAACTTCTAATTTTTCTAAGTTTTATTCAATTCATTTTTTTTTATCCAATAACAAATTTTCCGAGACCCCTTGTCCTCGTATGCTAATTAAATCAAGCCATATAAAGTTATAATATAATAAATAGAAGAGCCAAAAGTGGCAGGTACGATTCATATCTACACCGACGGTTCTAAAACAAAACAAGGCTTAGGATGTGAAATATACTCCCGATTCTAAAACCTAAATATAAAATGGGCTGTAAGCAATAGTGCCAGTGTAGCCAGAGCTAACGGGGATTCTCATAATAGCAAAAGAAATAACCAGAAACAATATGACTGGAAGGCATATGCTCATCTCTACAGATAGCAGACAAGCACTACTCACCCCGAACAGCCACGCATTTGGCCAAAGTATCCATCAACAATGTGGTCACCTTAAGATGGATCAAAGGTCACGCCATATGGAAATAAAACCATCTTGCTGATTCACTAGCCAAGAAAGCAGCCAACCAAATACTTTTTGGACCTGGCCCTTCTATTGGCCTGACAAAATCGGCAGTGACAGACCTAATCTAAGAACAGAACATTCCTTTGTGAAATTCAAGGAAAGATGGAATGAAACTAAAAACTGTAGAGTTGCCAGGGAGCTCTTAAGTTATCCTGACAACACTGCAGCAAACAAATACTCGACTATGACTAGACAGAATCTGCGCCTAGTCACAGGCATTCTGACTGGTAATTGCCAAGTACGAAAGCATCTCCATATCATGGGGCTGTCAGAATTCGCACTCTGCAGAGACCATCGAGCATATCCTTTATGATTGCTCGACGCTCTCATTTATTGAAAGATTTGTGTTCGGCGAGCATCGGCTAACACCGGCCGATATAAGAGAAGCACCTCTTGGCGACGTTGTCAACTACATTAAATCTGTAGGCTGGCTCACGAACTAGGAGGTGCCTACCTTCTCAGGAGGATGCACAATGAGCCTAATGAGGCCTCAGTGCCGTGGGGTAACCCTCCCTCCACACGTTACAGATACAGATCTCGAAAAATAATAACTTTATCGCTATGAAGAAGGAGTACAATATTTACGTAGGAAGTATCGTAGAATTTGAAAAATTGTGATAAAATTGCAATTTCGCAGTGACGTAGAATTTGGAAAGGATTAACCAGTCACTTGATTCTGTCGTACGCCTCTGATAGTAGGCATAAACCGTTATTTAACATAATTTAGTAGGGTGTATAGTATCTACACTTTCCGCCAAATATGACAATAATACGTCAAATAGTTTTAAAGTACTGGACAGAAATAATTTTTAAATTTTTAAACAAAATGGAGACACATTTTATCTAGGTGATTTGGGTTAAATCTTTATAATTTGAGCTCAGGATTCTATAGATGAAATATTGCCAATTAGTAAAGAATCACCCTGTACATTTGTTAGTATCTAGACGAAAAAGCTTTTAACTTTTTTTTTATTCTAAGAAAAATAAATGCTCCTGTAGGTAAAAATTAAATATATTGTTCCTTTCTAGCATTTTTATTTGTATTTCTTTTCGTTAGAAAGACATCTTTTTAGATTTGTTTCAAAAGAAACCCTTTTAAATTTTTAAAAAGTGACTCCAG